CTGTTGTTTTCAGCAGCTATTCGTATTTTTTCTAAGTTTTGCCCGATTTTACGAGTAAACATGCTTTTCTGGATATCGTATTACGCATCCCACTGAACGCCCAGTTAGGCCGAAGTGGGTTATTTCGACATATGCTTTTTGAAATTATGTAAATGTTCGGGATACAGAGTAAGAGCCTAAAAACAGTTTTTTTTCTATTTCCGACAGTACTATAGTCAGATGTCTAGTACTATCCAGACTAAACTACTACAATGGACTGTTGATCGGCCTCAGAAAACACAATATCTCCTGACTACAGAAGGTACAGAATACAGCTGCAAGAATTATTTCTCTCAAGACTAATTCTAATTACACCTCTCCTGTTCTCAAATCCTTTCACGGGCTACCTAGTTAACAAAGAATGCATCCCTGACAGTGAATGCGATACCCAGAGTGTCAGAAGGGCTGTGCTTCCGGTGGAGAACCCGGGCACTCTCCTGATCTGCGCCAAGAGATCAAGAGGTACGAAACCAAGGGCATCGAGAACAATGGGGAGTCTGACGACAGTGTACTTCGGATCCAAGCGAGATATTTCAAAGGCGAGGTCCGCATCTTCAGCACGCTTTTCCCGAATCTTGCCAATCACATTGCTGTCAAAAGGGACAGAAAATTCAATGATATTAATATATTCAATAGCTCTATAAAGATCAGGTTTGTTGGCACGATTTCTTCTGAGGCTATATATAGGCCTATTCCAGAGAAGTTTAAAGCTGTCATTTTCCATGACGCCCTGGACATGTTCAGGGTCGGACAATAGATGGTCCTCGGAGTCGAAACCACAGGCATGGCGAAGACGGTAGTAGAACCAACGTGCCATGCCATCATGTCGTTTAAGATATGCTGTTTGTACCAAGGAAGGGCATCCACTGACAAGGTGTTGGACAGTCTCTGTAAATCCATTACGCAGTCAACATTTCACGTTAAACATGCTTTCTGCAACTTCTAAAATTGTGTGGCATTATGGATGAAAACTTCACTCTTTGGAATGAAAAATGATATTATTTTAGTTTCTATTTACATATCTCCAGAGTACTCACTCATATACCAAAATAGTGATCAAGACAGATGTGCTTTCTAATTATCTTGAGACTATTCTTTGTGAATATACGGATCATGAAATCATTCTCATAGGAGAGCTTAATGTCAGGATGAAAGATTATTTAGACTACATACGAAATGATTCTCTGGACCATATCATGTAGGATTCTGACAATTACCCAAATAATGATTTTATCCTGTCAAGAACTACTAGAGACAACAAAAGCTATAATGAATATGAAAAAAAACCTAGGTAATTTGTGCTGCACCTTTGGTATTCATACACTCAGTGGGAGGTTATGTAAAGATACTAAAAGGAGGTTTCACATGTTTTACTCACAAATGGGTCTCGCGTGGTTCACTATGTAATAGCTGGCTCACAACGTTTCTCATACATCTCTGATTTTGGTGTGCACCATAAGGATGATTCAAACCATTTCCCTTTATATTGTTCCATGACATTTGAAGAAGATATGTGCCAAGATAAAGATAACAGCGATATATTGCATTCAAATGCACCAATTTTATCAACAATAACATCAAAAGTAATAACAGTGTTACATTGTGGAAATCTGTATGGTCTGATTCTAACAGTAGCCAGGAGTTATTTTTAGGTAAATTTCAGGGAAAATTCAAAGAAATGAGTGACGAAATCTACAGACTTATTGATGAGAATGTCATCCTTGCTGTAAATAAACGGACTGCCTGCTCTATATCAGACTAGAGCACATCACTCAAAGAGAAAATATGGGAAATCTGTTTTTGGAAACAATAATCTGTCTCAACAACAACTCCCACGGTGTGATAAGGAACTTGCAATGGCGAAGAACAGGAAATATGCTACACTTCGATCATACAGAAACTATGGGGATGAGTTTAGCCATTTTAGAGCTATGCATTTAGCCTTCAAGAAAACCTTTGCAATGAAAAGGTCAGTTTATCAGGGCAAACAGAAGGAACAACTTGTACAGGCCAGATATAATCCTAAATCATTTTGGCGTATTCTAAACTCGCCTAGAGCGTCATCACAAAGAACTCCACAGATATCGGTACAACAATGTGCTGAACATTTCAAGAATCTGCTGTTGTCTGACTGTGCAACTAATTATCAGTGATATAGGTGAAGAGATGAGTTTGACAGATACACCACAGAATATCAATCTCCCCTTTACCAATGATGAAATCTGTAAATGCCTTCAAGACTGAAAGAGAAACAAATCTCCAGGACCAAATGGTATTGTAAATGAATGGATCAAGTCTACTAAAAGTTGTATCACACCATACTCACCAGACTCTTTAACAACATGTTATTCACAGGAGCGTTCCCACAGGGACGGGGGAAAGTATCATCTGTCCCATTCACAAGGCAGGAAATTTGAACATTACTGATAATTATAGAGGTATACCACTTATTTACTCAATATGTAAAATTTTGACAAATCTACTGGATAAAAGACTACAATCTTGGTGTGACAACAACGATATTATCCATGAATGTCAAGCTGGCTTTAGGCCTGATATTCAACCAGACCACATCTTCGGCTTACACGCAATAGCACAGAAGTTCCTCTCTAGATATATAGGTAGATTATACTGCATCTTCATTGACCTCTCCAAGGCGTTTGACAGGGTTGATCATGAAGTTTTAGTGAACAGTTAGAGGAAAGTGGGTCAAACGGAATTTTATCAAACTCTTCACATCAATGTACTCTTACCTATGTGTGAGATCGTCAACCGGTTTAACTGAATATTTTAAATGCATCATTGCAACCCGTCAGGGATGTGTCTTGAGTCCAAAATTGTTCAGAAATTACTTAAATGAACTCATATATCAACTTGAACAGAAAGGTGGCGAATAAATATTTATAAAAATAGATTTTCCCAATATTTATGTATTATTCCAGCAGATGACGTGTCTTCAGTAGCTAATAGTGTTGCACAACTTCAGAAGAAAATAGATGTCATAGAATAAGTCTGTGACTCTACAGGCCTGGAAGTCAATCTAAAGAAAACATAAGTAATTGTTTTCAAAGAGGGGGGCCCTTTAAGAAATTATGAGAGATTGACTTACAAAGGAACTGAACTTGAAGTTATTAATGTTTACAGGTATCTAGTGTTTACCCCAAAACTTTCATAGAGCTAAACCTTCAGCTGTCGTCAAGAAAGCAATGTTGAGTATAATTACTTTTCGAAAGAAGTTTGAAAAACTGGGCTATGAAGATCATTTTTAAGTGTTTGAAAGTATGATTGTTCCAATATTATGTTATGGAGCCGAGATCTGGGGAACTTCATATGAAAAGCTGATTGGAAGTATCCAAGCATCATTCTGTAGAAGATTTCTCAGACTTACCAAAAATACTCCAAATAACATGGCACTAGGCGTGTGTTCCAGACTCCCCTCTTCAATATATCTACATGACAAGAGCAATAACATATTGGACAAGATTAATTCACCTTGGGAACAACAGACTACCTCATCAGGCATATAAGATGCTCAAAACACTTGATGATGTTCATGGGCTACCTCAATTATGAACATCCTTTTCCGCTTAGGTTTTGGTACAGTATGGCCCCAACAAAATATTGGTGAAAGAAGACTCTCAAACAACCTCTATCAAGACTGGCACTCCTCCCTGGAATCTTCCTCTAAATGTGAATTTTATTATGAATATGAGTCTCTACTCAAAGTTGAATCATTTATAAGAAATTACATTCCACAGGATTTAAAATATCATATATTAAAATTCAGATGTAACAACTATAGACGTAAAGTTGAAACTGGAAGACACAACAATATACCCCATGAAGAAAGAAACTGTGATTACTGTTTAAAGAAAAATACAAAGACTGTGGAAAATGAATACCATGTACTTCTGAAATGTGAAAAATGCTCTCATCTAAGAAGACAATATCTACAAGCACGCTTTACAGACTACCCAACAACTACTAACTTCATACACTTGATGGCATCTACTGACAGAGATGTATCATATAAACTTGGACTCTTTCTATCTAAAGTATTCACTATAAAATCATCTTTGAAAGCTTGAACTTAATGCATGAAGAATAATATGTTTGTAATTTATCACGTATTATAGGCCTATGGCCTCTTCACAGAATATATTTGTCTGTCTGTCTGTAAATTCATTACACAGTCGACATTTCATGTTCTTCAAAAATCACATTTAGGCGACTGCGGGTGGGAAGTGACTGGTCCTGAGGACCAAAATTGAAGCCCTCAGTTTCACAAGACTAGCCGACTTCATCCAGGCGAGGGAGTCGGGTGGGCTGCTATTCTGTTCCACACACTGCATGTACACAAGATGCAATGTCCGACATTATTAGTACTATTATTTTGTCAAATTACAACCTGAACTTGAGCGATGCAATGTCGATAGAAGCAACAAAACAGAGCAGAGTCGATTATACAATTGTGACCGTATCATGAACATATTATTTGTTTTAGTAGCAATAGAGCTGACGCTTAATGGTGTTGTTTGTAAACAGACTAGACAATCCAGTGATTGTCACCATGCAATCTGGTGACACACGTGTATATGAATCACTATTAAATAGTGATGATATCAGATGTGCGCGAAAAGGTGAGCGTATCCTGCCCCACCGATGGCATCCGTCATAAACATCTGCTAAGTCTATTCAGTTGTTGACCTGAACCAATTTGGGAACGTGTTGTATAAGTCGAAATAGGGAATTGCATCGGACATCATTTTTGTCACTGATGCATCAAATTTCGAAATTTCCTCCACATGCCTGCCATAAAACGTCTTGAAAGCTTTACTGAGGGCTTGAAAGTTCTAACCTTGATCACACAACTTCTGAGCAAAAGCTTTACTGAGGGCTTGAATGTTCTAACCTTGATCAAACAACTTCTGAGCAAACGCTTTACTGAGGGCTTGAATGTTCTAACCTTGATCAAACAACTTCTGAGCAAGAGTTGTATGAAATCCTAATGAAAAGAGCACGCTCGTTTGTACTCAAATTTGTGAAATGTAAACACCAAGGGCCGAAGCTGTTGGAATATTGCTCGACATGAAAGGGAAGTTTACGTTTATGCAACGCTTACGACGGATTAGTATGTTACTTGTTTCAGTATGTGTTTTGTGCATGTGTGAGTTTTAGTGCGGGAGAGTGTGTGTGTGACAGAGAGTGTGTGTGACAGAGAGTGTGAATGAATGAGTTAACATTTATTTTCACATCGGCAATCTTTCGGCCATATTGTCACATGAACAATTAATTGAGTGTGGTGTGTGTGTTGTGTGTGTGTGTGTGTGTGTGTGTGTGTGTGTGTGTGTGTGTGTGTGTGTGTGTGTGTGTGTCTGTCTGTAAGTGTGTCTGTCTGTCTGTCTGTCTGTGTTCTTCTGACCTTGGTGTACAACGCTCTCAATGTCCTGGTTGGTGATGTGCGCCATGAAGCCCAGAATGGAGAAGACGGTGAAGCCAGACAGAATACTGCTCACGCAGTTGACAAACGCAACTATAACAGCATCTCTGTAATAAGAACTTAAATCTACATCTCTCAGAATAGCAGGTAATGGCTCAAAATTTACTGATTATGCAAAGGCGATTTTAATAGCCTTGGAATATCCACACCATTTGTTCTCGCCATTTCTTCCTATTTTCCTGTCATGAATTCAGGTTGTGAAAAATGAATCTTTCAAACATTAAAATTTTCTCGATTTTGGAATTATTCAAGAAATTTTCTTTGATACTGAAATTATACACCATGCAACAGATATTCCGTCTGGCAGTTAATGTAAGTGTGGACATCCTAAGAATCAAGTTCACCATCACCTTCTAATGGTGGCAGGTATAGCCTGTTAGTATAAAAATGCATCACAAAAGACCGATAGTTGCTTCAAAGCTACTAGCGATACTTTAAATCTTGCAATAAAACCATGTAGGTTGTATGGGCATTTGAAGATCCTCGGGTCATCGGTTAGTTAGTATGTAGTACGTCTCAGATGTGATCTTCATGCATACATTTTAAGCATATTGAATATGACAAGCTTTCATCGTCAATTCTACATTAATCCTTCTATGTATTTAACTGGTCTGATATCAAAGCATAACATTAAACAGTTTGTAAGGTAACACAACACACTTGATATGGATGTGCAACTTCTTTATTATTTATACACGACGTTTCTTGGCTAATACTTACCTAATGAAGGGGCAAGTATTAGCCCAGAAACGTCATGTATAAATAACAAAGAAGTTGCACATCCATATCAATTGCGTTGTATTAACATTAAACAGGAAATTAACGTTGACCATGGGACGAGGCTCGAGGCGATGTATCTGCAGCCAACTCACAGCTCACAGTTGTTGTTGAACTTGTTGAAGCTCGACATGGTCACCACACCACCATATCCTGCACTTAAAGTGAAAAATACCTGAGTGGCTGCATCTCCCCATACCTGCAATAAAACATTAGCCGATCATTAGCAAGCAGTCGTATTTCTTTATACATGGTACTACTGTTTGTGTGTATCGTGTCAGAGGGAAAAATTCTTTACCTCTATGTTTGGAAAAAACAATGACTCAAAGCATAATGAATCTGTTTTCGACAATATTTACCTTGGAGACAAACTTTATGGATAACAACTTCTTTATTTTGTGAGTGCGACCTTTCGATACAGATTATTGTACCATTATCAAGCAGGTATCAAAACGTCGCACTCACAAAATAAAGAAGTTGTTATCCATAAAATTTGTCTTTATTGCACCTCCTAACTTCTAAAATGCCACCGAGATAAGTAGTTACGTTGGCGTCTGTCAGCCTGTGGACCTGCGGTGTCATGTAAAAAGCGATGCCCTTCTCGTATCCTGGCAACGTCAGTCCCCGCACCAGCAGCACCAGCATGATGACGTAGGGGAAGGTGGCGGTGAAGTACACGGCCTGGGAGAGAAACGGTACAAACAACCAACGTGTGTACATATCTACACGTTAATTGACAAAACGTTTATACATGAAAGATGATATAATACATAGGTGTGGGTATTGCAGAGAACTTTCATATTGCGATATATTGCAATGCAAAAGCATAATTTGCGATGTGTATTGCAATATATTGCAAGAAGTTTTTTTAAAACTAAAAGCTACTTATAGTCGAGTTATAAAGCAAAAACACCACAAAATCACTATGCTTGATTAAGCTTTAATAAAACACTTTTAATCATGACAAAATAAAGATGTAAATGATATTTGGCACAAATGAAACAAGGAAATATCCAAAGATTTCCGAGTGTTACGAAGATTTCCGAATGCATGTAAAAATACCGGTTTTTGATCAGCGTATCGCAATACGTATCATTTTCAGGTCTGAACCGGTAGTAAACCGGTTATTTTGCGCAGCCCTAATAATACAATAAAATTGCGCACATAATTATTACGAAAACGAAAAATGACAGGAAAATAACATCGCAGGTTTATACATATACTTGACAAAATAAGTTAAGGATATTAGTACTTTTATGATTGGTATTTTATCAGTGTGTCAACGAATAAATAGATCAGTATTCACATTTGCATTCAATTTACATATATCCTTAACTATTTTTGTCCAGTATGCAACGGATATGTAACTTAAAAAACGACATCACAAAGCAAAACATTAAAACGGACTATCGATCAGTTAAAAATGACGGGAGGCCTCCGTACAAAGAGGACCTCCGTACAAATATTTAGAAAACAATCTAACATTAGACTTGTTTTGTGATCTAATATTTTGTATCATCATTTGACTATAAACAATCGTTCATTTATGAACCAAATATATATAATATCAAATAATGAATCAGACAACTCGGGCAACTCTGAATGGTCAGGAAATTACCAAACAGAAGAAATCAAACTACATAAGCATTCTTTATGTCATGGGAAAGATCTAGATGCTATTAATTGATAACAAAATGCATTTATGAAAAAAACATCTTCCAGTCTAAGGCTTCTGCAGAATGTGAATGTTTTGTTTTTTATAAACCTCACGTTATTTGTATTAGATACCAATTCCAGTTTGTCTCCAGTTATTAAATTTGTAAATGTCCTCTAACTGTCAACGCAAAACAATTTAAAAGCTTTGGCTTTGAATATTGAAATTCTGATCTAACAACGTTTGAGTCATATGAAGCTCTTTAAAACATGGGAGAATGATCGGTTTTCATTGGTCTTCAAATAAGAAATGTAGACACTAATCGGTGAAATAGTGCTCGACATAAATAAAATGTTGTGTAATACCTCAATTTCTTTTGAAAAACAAGAATTACAAATGAACTTACATTAAAAAGATCCTCCATGGATGAAACTTTGATATAGTTAACCCTTGTGATGGATACAATCAAGCAAGACTCTCATCACGAGGGATACAAACTCGAGGATCCTCACCTTTGAATAAATATTCTGATTTTCCTCTTTTATGGCCACGATAACGACACCAGACACCGGAAGTCGCTGTGGGATATCTTTTGAAACTTTTACAGGCGTAGAATTTGATTGCAGTTTCTTTAAGCAGGATTTGTTTCTTTTACAAACATCACTTGCATTACGTACTTCAGAAATATCACTCACCGGTCGCTTTGTATTTAAAAAAATACCTGTGCTGTGCTGAATCATCAGACCCTGTCAAAAATACCCATTGGTGGGGCATAATCAAACTCTACGCCTGTGTATATTCGATCAATCCACCTGAGCCAGATCCTGTCTACAATGAAGTTAGCTCATGTAATGTGAGTCTTGCTGTATGGTGAAGTTCCAGCCACTCCAAACATATCCCACATTGACTTCTGGTGTCGTCATAAACGAGGAAAATCATCCACCTTAACAGTTCATATAGTACATTACCTTGCCAGATGATTTGATTCCTTTCTTGAGACAGATGAAAAGAATGAGCCAAGAAAGGTATAGACAGAAGGTGTTCTTCAGACTGAACCCTCCCAAATCATCAAACCCATCAGATTCATGGAGACGAAGTACATAGCGTCTAAAATCATAAATATATCCATTATCATAATCATTGTATACGTAACTATGCTTCAAATAAAGTCCGATAAAATTAATTTTTTCCGAAATTGAATAATCCATCGTTCAGTATATATTCATAAAGACATCTCGGTTTTAAGGTCTAGAATCACAATCTGAACTTGTACATTTATGCAAGGCTCTCGCAGTCATTGGTTACGTGGTTGCTAAAGAATGATAATTCTAAGGTGCTTTGCGGAAAGATCAAAGGTGCCGACAGTACTTTATCAGGCGATAGCTCTGTATTGACGTCACTACGCTATTCTCGTCTGCCCCCTCGTTATCAAACGTACCTATGGTAACTGACGGCACGATGCATGTCAGTTGTCATCGCCTCGTACAGGCTCCTACAGTAAAGTACTCCGTAGCACTTCGTTTCTTGGTTTGAAGCTGCTTCTTTCTGCTAACATCACTGGTGGAAACATTACGTTTATGTTTGTCGAGTGATATAACTTACGTTGGTAGTAGAAATGCGGCGTCCATACTGTCCCATATGGTTAACGTTAGTAACAAATGTAATTAAAATAATTTAGAGGAGATAGGAGTATTTAACCGGAACGTAAACAGTCATCAAACTGTTTATCAGTTGTATTTCTGGTAACGTGCGTCTTAATGTAGGGGCGCAGACAGGTCAATAGAACAGCGCATCACACAGCCCTGAGCGAGGATTGGCAATTAATTTAGTTCATCGACACCGTCGTTTTTTTGTTTGTTTTCTGCTTTATATTTATCGTCGGTAAGTATGGAATTTGGCATCTTAGAAAAGAAATACAGTTCGCTCTACCACCATATATCGTGTAATATAGCACATTATCGCATTGAAGTGTCATAACGTTAAAACACTCGCACGCATCGTGTTTTTCTGAAATGTAAACAATGCACAATGGCTGTTCAACTATCATGAGGTAAATATACGTCTTGTGTGTATTTGTATAACAAAATACCAGACCAGTTGCTGTGGATATGCTGGCCACACAATTAGTGCGAGATGCAGTTACTAGATTATGCTCAACAAAACTTAGTACTATGTCTACATGGGTTATTAATTTGCGTATATACTTGATTAGCGCAAGTTGCCGCGATCCCCTGAACTGACATTATTAAGCGAGTTTACACCAACTCTCTTAGCTCGTGTTGCTGTCTCCAATTAACATGTATGAGTATTACCAGTGAATTTATTATGATAAAAGCTTGATCAGGCGATAAAACAAATATTATGTTGTTCTTTTCGATAACATAACATCTAAACAACCCTTTTCCTTCAATATATATATGTACAAAGTGTGCAATAGACATATCTGTTGAAGATGATTAAGTATATTGTGGGTGAAATTAAGATTGAAAAATTGCAATATATTTGATGGAGGGAAGTATGCACAACGTATTAGGGCAGTATTTTTTTCCAACACCGCCGACTCGAACCTAGAACGAAAGATTAATCAGTGTTATGTCCCTTGTCAACACACCGGCCATGATGTCTACCGACCAAAACTAAAGCAAACATCTGGTCTGTTTTGAAGTATCCCCTTCACATCCCTTTTAAAGTGAGAGTAGAGTCATCTAAATTTGATAACCTTTTAAAAATTAAGAACTCTATAAACTCATTCAAGCACAATATATTTGTGTTAGATTAACTGGTCTCTAATATTAGTCTTTATTTAAGGACAGACTATACTGTTGTTTTGTTGATCTTAAACTTTAAGCTGCATTTGATTCCATCAATAGAACAAGCTTGATGTATAACTTTGTACTGGCAATGTGAAAGGTAATTTTTTTGATTAATTAGAAACATGTGCACAAATGTTCAATCATGTATATCATTGCAAGACGGCTACACACAACTGTTTGACTGTGCGAGCGGAGTAAAACAGGGTTGCCAACTATCACCATTGCTATTTTCATTGTATGTTAATGATATTACTTAATTTCTTGATGTTGATGAAGATAGATGTATTGGCCTTTGTGTCGACTTTTCATGGTATTCTTCGTTGACGATGTGTTACTATTAGATAGCAGTGTCCGAGGTTTACAAAATAGATCTAGCAATAATTAATATATTGTCAAATATTGTAGCAATATATTGTAAAAAGTGGTCTTTAGCCGTCTATATTAGTATAACATGTATGGTTTTCTGGAAAGGTGGTAGATTACAGAAATGCGAAAAAAATATTTGAATAATACCCATCTAGAAATTATGTCTTCTTACAAATATTTGGGTGCAAATATTTGTATTCATTTCGCAAGAAGTGGGTCATGGCATATAACACACAAAAAACCCTTTGTCATATCAAGACCAGAAAGTGTTAAATATTTTACTATCAAATTTCAGAAAATAACATTATTGTTCTTCTCAACATCTTTGACCACAAAGTATACCCAACTTTAGCTTACGGCTCAGAAATACCTCACAGGATGCAGACAGGGAATACCGTCATTTCTTAAAGCAAATTCTTTTACTTGGTAGAAAGGCATCGAACTTAGTACCTTGGGGGTAAACATTGGATGTTTATCTTTCAAAACTAGACAATATATAAACATTGTTAAATATTGGACATGGTTATTATTCAAAAAAGATAATGGAATATTATACCACATATACCGTTATCAATATAAATTAGCAGAAGTTGGTAGACATTTCTGGGCCCATAATGTAAAACAATTGTTAAATATATATAGTTTTTGTTTTGTGTGGTACAATCAAACTAGAGGTTGTATAAATACGTTCTATTTGATTTTAAAGAAAGGTGTATATCAATAGATCAACAAACATGGTTTGAATTAAGATGTCATTTTCCCAAGCTCAATGTATATCGATCTCTAAAGAAGGAATAAGGCTGTGATGAAAATTGTCAATTGTGAATGTAACTTCATATAGAAGAGCCCCTACTAAATTTAGGTATTCAAATCACAGATTAATGATGGTGGAAGGTAGAAAACTTCATATTAAAGATCAACGATTGTGTCCCCTCTGTCGCTGTATTGAAACAGAGTACCATTTCTGCTTAATAAGTCCTTTTTGCCAGATTTGAGAAAATATTGTTGCCTGAATATTATATTGTAAACCAAACATATCCAAAATTTTATCAGCTATTATCATTCAAAAATCCAGATGTTATTAGATGTTATTATTATGGGGGCGGTGGGGTAGTCTAGTGGTTAAAGCGTTGGCTGGTCACGCCGAAGACCCGGGTTCGAATCCCCACATGGGTACAATGAGTGAAGCCCATTTCTGGTGTCCCCCGCCGTGATGTTGCTGGAACATTGCTAAAAAGCGGCGTAAAACCAGTCAGTCAGTCAGTATTATTATGTATTTATGCCATGGCACACACAGAGAGAGAGAGAGAGAGAGAGAGAGAGAGAGAGAGAGAGAGAGAGAGAGAGAGGAGAGACAAACATGCTGTACACACCTTCAGTATAATTGTAAAGAAGCCGGTGGCACTCTCTATATGGGTTACAAACATGCTCATTCTCTCAATGTAATCTTGAATTTAATGTAAAAAATAACCGAAACTCTCAATGTATCTTGAATATGGATTGATTGATATGGAATGATCTAACAAGATTATATTATTTAATATCTAATTAATAGGTGTTATATTAGATATCTGAGGTGAGTTTATCATTAAAAACAAATTGTTTACCTTTTAAAAGTCGCTGCCACAAGTCTGAAGTCCTCGAGACATTGAAATAAGACTTGCAATAAACGAGAATCTAAAACACTATTCAGATAATTTTGTCATTGTTAATGGTTTTTTCCCCGATCGACCGACCCATGTTCAGAATCTGGCGGCTACGTGAAACACAACAATATAAGATGTCCTTATGGACAAATAGGCTGGTTCTACCAATAGCCGCATCCAATTCTTACTCCCAGTACTCTTCACTTGCTGTAGCATACTTGATCAGACATCTCTTGGTGACGTCGTCCTGGATCATGGTGGAGTTGAGGTCGTCGGTGCTGTTGAAGGTGGAGTTGTAGACGTCGGAGATGTTGCTGAGGAGGCTCTCTACACAAAGTTGTTTGTACAGCACGTCTGTTAACAAATGCATAATAGCAAGTTCATTAAACATTACAGCAAAACCGATGTAAAAATAATTGAAAGGACTGGCTTATTTATTACAGCGCCCACTCTTCACGCCGAAGATCCTCACATGGTTGCAATGAATGAAGCTTATTTATGGAATACTGTTTGAGGTGAGGCTGAGGTGAACCATGGTTCTTCAGTTTAAATCCAAAAGCCAACTCTGTTATTATTTTGACTACATTATAAAAATGAATCTTAGAGGTCACATAAACCCTAGGGGGTACAAATACATAAATCACTAACTGGCATCGTTATAAATGAAACCCCGTCATTAAAACTACTCATTTTGACCTTTAATTGACTTAAATCGACCTTTTTGACAACAGTGCACAATTCTCACCCGCGAACGAAATTTCAACCAATCAGAGCGGCGCGCCTCTGTGACGTCATATGAGGAATAGCTTTGAGGGCCGATGCAGAATTCATCTACATTTTAGGGGTTAAATTATCTTGTTTACAGGCTTGTATAAACCTGAAATCGTGACAATTGTTGTGGAAAATGAAAGCTATATGTTCTCACAATCTACTGTCATTTAATTTTGTCTCCTGCGTTGCCTAGTTTCCGAGTTACAACTTGTTTTCATAGACGATTCTGTCAAAATCGATAGGTGTCGTTAGGCCCTATTTGTATAATGACTGATCCAAATTGATCCCATTTCTGTGTTTTTTTACCTCGATATTTAATCATGTCATGTAAAAATCTGTTTGTATTCTCAAAACAGTGTCGGCCCATAAGTTTTCACATGCAATACAGCAATTAATACTCCCTTGTTGTAACCCGTGCTAGGTGGTATAAACCTACACATGTTATTTGTCATCATTCACTTGATGGTCAGTTAATGAATTTATAACAGGTATAATTAGTAGTAACACACTTAGATTACCCGACAAAGGTTCCCATTTGGCATTTCTTGTGTCTGGAGTAAATATTCAACATTATAAACATCGATCAAAGGATTAACCGATAACACGCTGATTGATTAATTACTTTTATCTTACACAGCGGAATTGTCAAAAGGTAGTGTTTATGTATGTAGATTTACTAATCTATACTGAATACACTCTGTCGTGTCGGTGTCTGCGTAAAAACAACGTCCTTCTTTCAAAGGATTAACCGGCAATACATTGATTGATTGCCCATTATTGGCTAACTAAATTACTGTTTTTAAAGAAAGGTGGACATTATGCAATTAGTTGCCAGGTGTGTTATCTTGGGTGACCAATGAGACTATACACCAATACCTGAAAAGATTTATCACTTTTTCGTATATTAAACTGTTAAAAGACACATCATTTGGAACAGTTTTGTGGATATTGATGGATACATTCCTCGAACAAGGTAATGGCCTGATATTGTTCCTATAACTTTAATCTGTTTTAATTTTAATATTTGCATTTTGTTTTTATTCATTTGTCGTAGCATTCAACAGAATCATTGTTTTCGCCGTGAAGTGTAATGAGACAGACAACATGCACTAGGGTGTGTGTGCGAATTATGATTCACATTGGCAAACTATAAAATGTCTAGATATTACAGTTCTGTTATAAATTCACTATAAGTATCAGCAGATCGTCTGCTTTTTATTTAGTTTCAAATTGCATACAAGTGTGATAATAAACTAATTAGGATTATAAGACCAAATATAAAGACGCACATTGACTAGTATCTACATACTGGTGAGTGGACATTAACCATGGGAATGTAGCAAGAAATTTATCGCGCAGTATTGTGACTTCGACCCCCACCTCGCTTCCGTGGAAGAAATCGTTATGTTATAAGTTGTGTCATGCAAAATCGGTTTGGTTATGATTCAAATACATATTTAACTACGAGTAGAAAGTAGTCTTGATTTTCTAACTTGATGAAAACAAACTATAATCTCATTAATCCTAACAGATTTTTTTATTTTTAAAAATGGCGGCGCCCTGTCGGGAACACCCGCCAGTCTGAGGATAAATGGTATTTAGGTTTGTTTTCACCGAGTTAAAATCAAACTACTTTCTACTGGTAGTAAAATATGTATTTTATTGATGGCCAATAGGATTTTGCATGACATAGCGTATATCATAACAATTTCTCTCGTGGCAGCGAGGTGGGTGTCAATATAATACTACTTACAATATTATTGTTACTTCGACCACAACCTCACTTCCGAGGAAGAAATCGTTATGTTACAAGTTGTGTCATAGAAAATCTTTATGGTCATCAATCATATGCATATTTTACTACAACTAGTAAGTAGTTTTGATTCTTTAACTTCCGTGAAGCGATCTGAACACAAGTAAGATATCGTTTCAGGCTTCCACAACGCTCGCTTCGCACTCACAAACATAACCAATTTAGCACGAACTGCGGGGTCCTGTGGAAATCTGTGCATGGGGACACCATCGCCCGACCCCCTAGGAGCAATTGACGACAAAGCAACGATTCGGCATGTCGTCGTTGATGTCGAGAAATCATCAAAATGATGAGCGTGCTACACATTTTCTATACAACTAACTGAAAATCGTTCCTCATATGACGTCACTGCAGTGCTCTGGCGACAGAGTTACGTAACCTGTCTGTGGTTTCGTTGGCGGGCGAGAGGGAAGCAGGCGACTTTTTGGCCACTTTTAATCGCTCGGTATTAATTAACCACAAGTTCTTAAAGAATAAATTTGGTGTTCCGCATAAGACTAACCACAAATCTTTCATATGTAATGGTTAAAAGAGTAACAAAAAACAAAGTTTAGTGGTTCTTTAGGAGATCTTACCAAACAAAGTCGTTGTTCTGTTTGCCTCATCCATCAACGTTAGTGCAGGGAATGGCTCCGACCTACAGGAATTGGTGTTCCAGGGATTGCCACACGACCCCCCAGGGTACAGTGTCGTCAAGGTTCACAAAGCTGACAAACATGTAGTAGATGCCGTACATGACGACCACGTTGTAGTAGATGACAAGGATAGACATGGACATCACCATAGCCACTCCGACACCTGGAATAAATCAGCAGAAATTGGTATGTATGTATATTTATTACCCATATGGGAGAGGTGACCCCGTGTTTACATGATCTTTTTGACATTTGCACAATGTGCAGTTTAGTGATTCTCGACGTTGATTGGTCGATCGTATATTTGTACATTTTCATTGGATGCCGGAACTACTTTCACACCACTACGTCCATTCATAATATTTCATCGATTCATTGATGAATTGGCTGTGCTGTAATCGCACTGACTCAAAATTGTGAAATAGAACCAAAACAACACAAAATACAAAACTTGCAGGATTTCGATTTGGATGTAAATTTAATACTTTATTTCCATACTTCATTAACATTATGGCGTCGTTTACTAAACAACATGTTTTGTTATAATACATTATCTAAAATTGATAAATTTGTCTTTTGTAATCAAACCCCAGTTAAATCCAATTCAGTGACCTGGTCATGGTGGATGGAGACATTACTGGTCGTGTAACAAGAATAATACAACCACTAAATTTCTTTCACATGTATGTGATTAACACTGAATATGGTCAAATTGAAGTCGAATGGTATACAATGAAAGCGTTGCCGGAAACGATACAGAGCGAGTCGACTTCTCACCAAAGTCCCTACTTTGTCCCGAGAGTGTCATAAGTGACTTCTTACGAGATGATTTTTTGACTCCCCAATCGAAAACAACTTTTGACAGGTTTAGACCACGACATTGACAACTTTTTGGCTGCGAACGAAAACTGTTGTCGACTCGACCTCGGACTAAATTTAGAGTTCCTGACAAGGACACTGATGCAAGCCAAAACTACATGTAGATCACAGTCCATTTCAGCCAAATGTTGACAAACGTTCATAATTGTGTATCGTCTTCTTAAAAAAAGGTTCACCATTCCTGCGTTTTATTGTCCCCTTGCAGCTTTTCACTGTTTTATAAGTTAACGTTAAAAGAAATATACAGGTTTTTGCTGTTTTGTATTCAACAACAGTCGCCCACTTTCTGACACGAGTTGGGTAGATCGACACATTTGCGATCTACGACAAATTATTGAATACTAGTATGTGATTGTACTCGTTGAAAATTAACTAAATCTTTACAAAGGGGCGTGCTCAAACGAATTTGGAAACTGTTAAATTACGTTGTTTTTCATACCGTTTTCTACAGTACTATATTGTGGTTCATATACGATTCCATTAGGCGTGAGCTGTTTGGTTTTATCCGCGCATTAATACAGATCAGCTGATTTAATTGTAAACACTTACATAAGAAGATGCGGCTTTGAGTTCATAAATATTGGTTTCTCGGTTTAATTACAAACTAATTAATAGAATTACCCACGAGGCACGAGTGATTACGGGAAATATGTCCCTCGTGAAATTAATGTTCAATTGCAAGTCCTTCGTTAAAGCTCGGGACAGTGAACATGAATTTCACGCGTGACATATTCCCCGTAATCACTCGTACCTCGTGGGTTATTCTCTAATTATACATTCAAACATCTTTTCTCATCATCTTCATTCAATCTTTGATTCAGGTAGAATGGCAAACTCGATCATTCACTCATACCTCGATCTTCTACATGTTGTGAGTGACAAGGGTATTTCAACACATACAGTTGTAATATCGTACATAAGAAATGAAAGAATTGCATGTTAAAAAGAACTCACATATGTCACAGTTATTATAAAATAAGACATATTATATCTCGTATCTGAGATAATTTGTGTATGTATCTTTAATATGTGTGGTCTTTTCTTTATGTATGTAAACCTGAGAACATGAGATGAGATATACATGTATTACCTTAGTATATAGTTACGTTTCTTGTTTCAATCAATAGTGTTACATGCCGTCGTACTGACTACGACTATTGTCACAGGCAGCATTTGACACCACACAATGTAAGATTCAGGAAATCCTTATGAATGCTTCCGACGGAATAGGACATGCATACCTTTTTCATGAACACCCAGTGACATTACTGATTTTCAGTGATTGATTCCTGCAGTTTATATGATGATAATGATTACGACGACGACGACGACAACAACGATGATGATGATGATGATGCTGATGATCACTTTTGTTCTTTGTAACAAAAGGAAGTCTTACAGTAGAGAATTGGGAAGAGAACTTTTGATAAAGACTATTACCGTGAAATGCCGGGCTGACCTTCCACACCGTGATCGGCCCTTCTGAGGCGAACTGACCGAGGGCCATCTCCATGAACATTAATGGTAGGCCGATCACCAACATCATGATCAAGTAGGGGATCAGGAAAGTGGCTGCAAGAGAAGAGTACAAAGAGTATAGACTGTGGTAGTTTGTGACAAAACAATCTATTGTCTGGTATACACTGGTTGTTCCTTTTTCCACGTTTATATTGAACCTTTCACAGAAGATCAGGTGAATTGAGTCATCACAGGTTGTTTTGTAATGGACAGCAGCGTAAAGCACCAATTATATATTCATTGTAATGGACGGACTAACGATATTCAGTTACGCCACAGAACTATTCTGATAGTGTCAACGACTACACCGAGTAGACCATCGTCCTGAAACCCTACCTCCTCCATTCCTGTAGCAGAGATAGGGAAACCTCCAGACGGTGCCAATGCTGGCTGCGTTGCCAAAACAGGTCAGCAGGAACTGGGCTTTGTTCCCCCAGGAACCCCTGGCATGAACCTACAGTGATCAGCAGATATACATTATTGTGAATAGCAGGTAAATTATAAACATTATTATCAAAAATAACATACATATATAACATGAAAGCTTATTGTAAGACTACTCAAATACCCTAGTACTGAATATTATGTTCTAGTGCATTGATGCAGTGTATGCATGCACTCCGCTCATATATATTACTCTAAATTGTATATCATGATGAGTAGAGATGGCTTTCAGGAAGGTGATTTCAAAACGGTTAAGATTCTGGTGACGAAACCAAGACAGTCTGTAGCCAATAATAGTACTGTTTTATCAAACTGGCACGGAAATAGTTACTCAAGAGCTATATGAGTCTTCCCCAAAATGAACATTACTTCAGCTATGGCAAACAACGCAACTAAATACACGTTGATCACCGTACAGCACATGCATTATAAGATTTATCCATGATCAATGAAGTCATGAGGATTTAGTTGTCGAACAGATTGCAAGATAACGGGGCACCCATCTTCATTTAACTCACTAAAATATACTCATGGAAAAAAATAGGGAAAGCATATTTCTAAGAAAATGGGGAATTTCATTCAACTATGTTCACTGGTGTGTTTTGCCGTTGTCGTGAAAAGCATTGCGCTGAAACTAAATTGCACGTGCATTACGTGTTCCTGAAGTCATGGGTATTTTGGATTAATGCATTACATGCATGTGCGCTGTCGAACACACAGCTTAAAATCAGCGTTAACATGGCGAGACAGTACTTGAGTTTGGCACAAAAATGGGAAGCAGTTGGCATGGTTAAGAGTGGAAGCTCATTACGACAGGTTGCCACGACATTTCAGAAGTCTGTAAGCGTGATGTCCAGGCTTTGGAGCCTGTATAGACAGACTGGAGATATGAAAACGAGACGGGGTTGAGGACGGAAATCCAAATCAGCGCTTAAGACTGCAGTGGGCACGCAGCCATGGTGGAAGAAGACGGGTACCATAATGACGGACGAATCCGGGTCTGGAGGCGTGCCATTGAACAGCATGATCGCTATGGAGGGGTTCTGTGATGGTATGGGTCGGGATCACCTTTGACAACAGAACAGATCTTATTCGTGTTGATGGGAGAATGACAGGTGTACGCTATCGTGACGACAATTTAAATCCGATTGTCATCCCATTTGCGCGTACGGCAGGAAGGATGTTTGAGTTCCAACAAGACAACTCCCGCCCTCATATCGCCCAGGTTTGTAGGGACAGACTGAGGGCTGCAAACATTCGAGTTTTGCCATGGCCGGCTAAGAGTCCCGACCTTAAAAAAAGTCCCATTGAACATCTATGGGATGTTCTTGGCCGTAATGTTCGTGAACGACCTCAGCAGCCTGACAACTTGGATGAGCTTTCCCGGGCTCTACATGAAGAATGGCGTAGAATCCCCATTGCTACCGTTCGTAAACTCATACGGAGCATGCCACGACGATGCCAAGCAGTTGTCCAAAAACATTGCGGACACACCCGATATTAAAAATGATCGCTAGAGACAAGCATTTTCATCTCTGTGAACTTTTCTCTTACCTCTTCAAATATATTACAATGACACTCAATTCATGCGTTCCCTTATTTTTTCCATGAGTATAAAATATAAAACAATCGATTTCTAAACTACTAAAATAGCTTTTACCTTACATACCGCCACCCATGCAAAATAGCCCCCACCCATACACAATCTGAATTGAAAAGGAACTCATGCGAACTCAGAGATTCAGAACCAGTGTTAAAATAAAAAAATGTATAACTCATGCCAGGAGAATGCTAACATGTAAAGATAAACGTACGAGTAGGATTTCAGACATCTATCGTACCATTCATAGATACATTGTATTTCTACTCAGAAACGTTAAATCTATTTTAGATAGTGTAATATATGTACGTTGCATCGCTATTGCTGATTGGGAGTTTAGATGTAACCTCCTACTGCTCAGGACCATTCAAGTAAAGTCAGCATAATATTATAATATAGTATTATATGCTTTCAATGTGTTTGAAATGGATACACATTTACGTATCGACATCACGCGTTATACATACAGTTTGTCCAACTGTATATTTGAAACAAATACCCATCATGATGGGGCTGCATATATATTTAGTAAGAAGCAATAAATAGTGAGTAGAACGGACATGTCCTCGAAGTCAATGTTGGTCATGTAGATTTAATGCTTTGAATAGTTGGAACTTAACGTTTCACTGCTTGAAATAGTGAAATGAAATTTCCATTTATTCCCTCATATTTGGAATATGATTTGGAAGAGTTGGATTCTATACCTGTACCTGATATCACATATGGAAAAAGATATTGGCATGTTCCACAAATGAAATATGTCCCTGTATTCATAGGTGCTTAGAAATAATGGAATGAATGAATGTTATTTTTATATACTGTTATGAGCGTGTGTTTTTTTTGTAATTGGTAATATAGGATTGATCAAGTGATAGTTATTATGGGTCACAATGTTTAAAGTTTTGAGTGTGGGTTTTGGCTCACATCATATATGTTCAATGGCAATAGTATTTGTAGCGGCACGCCTTTTTGATAGCGCTTCAGAGTTGCCTCCCTTGGCTGGCTTGTTTATTTTGCATTGACTTCCGGGTCTTGGGTGTGTTTTCCACATGATTCCATAGCGTTCTGAGAGAATATGCAAGAATGCATATGAACTGTTTAAGAGCTATATGAAGGCTGGTTGTTGAGTTATGGATACGGGGATTTATCACATCACTGGAGTTATACACATTTGTCTGCCATCATTAAGTCGATCACCGTGCTTGTGTACTCAACGGTTGTCATTGTAAACAACCTTCAGTCTGTTCTCACTGTGAATGTCAAGACTCTCGTGAGTTAATATTTTATATTTGTGGACCCAATATTTTAGATTTTTGACTCAATTGCATGTTAATAGAAATCTGTATTGTCATTCATTGTAGCTTGCTCATTGTTTCTTCAATATATACTGGACAAAGTAAGTTAGGGATATTGGTGTTTTTATGATTGATATTTTATATGTGTGTCAATGAATATATAGATCATTATTCATAATTTTAAAATTTACATATATCCCTAACTATTTTTGTCAAGTATATAATTGAATATTTTAGACTTGTCTGTGTTCTATTTTGCTGGTTCAAAGAGGACTCTTAAACCTTTTGTCACGGCAATGTTATTAAACGTAACAATGCGTCTGAAGTTAACAAAAACGATCATGCCTCAACTGTTTCAATTAGGCTGGAGTCCCAACTGTTTCAGCAGGGTTGGGTGTGGTTCAAATTACAGGATTGTTCTCATATGTTCCAAACAAGATCGAATGACATTGGGAATGTCTGTCACGCAACCTATCTCTTGAGTCTAGACTTTTGAAATTTATTGTGTGTACTTAACAGTGTTTAGCGTCATTGACAGTACACTAAACGCCAAAAGAAACGTTACCATCCTACATTTACGAATTACTTAAAAACTATCAAAGATGTGTTAGAAGGTATTAGTTTACAAGAAAGCTGAACAGCACAGCTTTATGCAAATCACGAAAAATATTTCTCAAATGCATTCATATTTAGGTGAAATGCATCTTTTTCAGATGAGTTAAATTGTCCTATTTTCGTCCATGCCGAAATAAACCAATAACAGTTATTTAGATGTCCACACGAAAGGTTGAAATAAACATCTGGTTTGAGACAAAGATAAACCATTTAAAGTCACCATTTTTCAACTATTAAAACAAGAAATAACTGTTGTACAGTGTGTAAAATTGTGAAATAATCATTCCTATGATTTCAGTCTTTTAAAACAGTTTCTGCTAATTTGCATTAGTGAAAACAAGTAAAACGTGTCTGTTATATTGTGAAAAATGTTTAAGAACATCTGAAATTAACTTTGTTAACATTTTTGCTTGCAAAGTAACATTTTCTGTTTACACATAGCAATATCAATCGCCAAAACGCAGCAATATTCAAGCAGTATTTGCATCCATTTCACATGTAGAATGATTCTGTAGGGTATAAAGAGAGCCTAGAATGCATGATATGATACACAAGTACGAGAAATATGCCACGATTAACAGCTGAAGAGAGAGAAAGAACCATTGTAATGGTGCAGATGGGATCGACATGCAATGGTGCCAAGATCGGATGATCGTATCACGGTTATAAGCATTCAGGGCTTCAGACGTCCCCGTAGACAGACCAAGAAGTGGACGGGTAACGCTGAAGATAGGTAACCCGTCATTTTGGCGTTTCTTTTGGCGTTTAGTGTATTTGTACATTGTAACTGGATATCAAAGCCCATTGCTGCAATCTCTCATAACGCAGGTGGCACAGCAGTACATGGGATGGGACTTATGGTGGTGATTTCAGGGTACTGAAGTTTATGAGATACTGTTGTCTTGAATCTGCTGTATGTGCCTATTAAATATGGGGAGGGTCAGCATTATGTAGCTCTGCTAACAGTATCAGTAAATTAACAGGATCTTTTGATCTCTTTGGGTTGCTCGGTCGGGTTTTGAGGATTCGGAAACTGGATAGACTTTAAAAAGGTTGTGTTTTTGACGTTTTGCCTGCAGTTCCAGATTTACCATATCAACAACGTAAAACAAATAGAAACTATTTTTACTTGTCGTTTATGTTAAGATACATATATACGATAAGTGATAAACGACGGGAGACAACTAACATGTTATTTCTCTGAACCGTCTCTACCTAACCATGCTGATGACCTGTGACGAGGTTTGTTTTGGGCTACGTTTAAGACACACCAGAATATTTGTCACTTCTTTATGACCATGCAATTGACAAAACACTTGCTTACTTGACAAGTGCCTGACTTGACACAACGTCAGCTACAAGAGTTTGGAGAAAATAGGTGAATGTTGGTATCGGTCTTTCGACAACAGAACACGACAGAAAAAAAGAGAAAGAACAAATAGAAATAAAAGTAAATAAGAAGAGCGAAAAGAGAGTCGTGTCGCTTTTAGTGACAGTAGTTCCCGAACTATAAAAGCCTCAGCAGATGGTTTTATTGTGTGCATCAAAAGGCTGTTCATTTACACATGCTGCAAAGGGTATATTGGTATACCCAAATGTTCATTTGTGAACAAAATACAATTGGGTATATGGTGCTATCAGCAGCTGTACCTGTCTGTGAAGATCCGTGTTAGGATTGGTCTTCAGCAACCCGTTGCTTGTAGTAAGAGACGACTAGCGTGATCGGGTGGTAAGGCTCGCTGATTTGGTTGACTCAAGTGATCGTATCCCAACTGTGTAGAACGATGCTCGTGGTGTTGATCACTGGATTGTCCAGACTCAAATATTTACAGACTGTCGCGATATATCTGGAATATTGCTGAGTGCGGCGTAAAGTTATACTCAAAACTGGCGTCAGATCTACCCATCCTCAACATAGAGTAATCAGGTTCTAGTCGACGTCTCTCTCTCTCTCTCTCTCTCTCTCTCTCTCTCTCTCTCTCTCTCTATATATATATATATATATATATCTCACACGTACCTGTCCGCTGTGGTCGCTCATGACATCAACTATTGGAATCGACACAGGTACAATTTCACGGCTGTAAATAAGAATGTCACTCATCAGAATTAAATTGTAATAATTCGATAATCAGAAAAGGAGAAAACAAATGAGAACGAAAGTGATATATATGGAATCCTGAAAGGGACATCGTCGCATTATCGCCCTTACAAAAACAAGCAAGAAGTTGTAAAATTAACCATTCGCGACATTTTGGCCATTTGTCGCTGTGTTGTATTGTCGCGCTTTAAATAATATTTTTATTCAACCAAAGTGCGACATTGACGATGACAACTGGCATGTATCGTGACGTCGGTTACCAAGGTTACGTTTGATAACGAGGGGGCAGACGAGAATGGCGTAGTGACGTCACTAATGTGTGACGTCTGTTGTTTCTGAATTTCACTTGTCGTATATAACAATTTTTATCATGAACTAAGCCATCCCGAGTTATCTCCCTTTATGACTGTTCAG